GAAGGTCTTGGTATTTTTGCCATCATGCACCAGAGGCGTCTTTTGAGATGCGGTTACAGAGAAGCTTGAGACCAGCTTTCTTTTTTTCCTTGCACTGGTCTTCCCACGTGAATGATTATAGGACTTGTATCCTTATCTTTGCTGTGTGAATATGTTGTTGGGATATGTCTGCTTCTTGATCTTTTGAAATCTACTTCACCTTGAACAGCGTAGGACCTCCCATTCTGCCCAGCTGGAATGTTCCTTTGCATCAGCCTTTGTTTAATGTTTCTTATCTGTGAGAGCTTTTCTGCTGGTCTCCTCCGTAGGAAAACCCAGTATCCATATCTTGGCTTGCTGTTTCATCCTCACATTTGCATTTTTCCCATTTCCTTTGCATTCTGGGGGGAAAAAAATTCTCAGTTGTTTTGTACATAACTAATTCACTTTGTTTTGCAGTACTAATTCTAGTTTTATTGCAACCAATGTGCCTTTTTCTTCTGTTACAACCTTTCAAACTTCCCTATAATTTTTATCATTTTCTGTTCCTTTTTTATATCATTTTGGTTTTTTTTTTTTTAAACCTACTTGCCTTGTTTTGCATTTGTTTTGTTCTCTTCTTATGAGTTTTTGCTGTTATATCATAGATGTCAGATCTTCCTGCCCTTTGTTGAGGCTGCTAAATACTTTTCTGAGATGTTTCTCCGGATACTACGTGAGATCATGATGAGAAGTTTCTCTTGAGACTTCTGGATATTCGTCCTCAATCTATTTTCTGCAATTAAAAAACAAAAACAAATTATCTTGTCTCCCCTCCTCCCCACTTGTGCAGCTCTAACAAAACACCTGAGACTGGATAATGTATAAAGAACATGAATGTATTTATTTGAGACGGTGTCTGACTCTGTCAGCTGGAGTGCAGTGGCATGATCATAGCTTAGTGCAGTCTCAAACTCCTGGGCCCAGGCAGTCCTTCCCCCGCATTAGCCTCGCAAATTACCTGGGGCTACAGGTGTGTACCACCATGCCCAGCTAAATTTTTAAAAAGAAACGTTTATTTTTGGAGAGATCAGGGGATCTCACTATGTTGTCTAGGCTTGTCTTGAACTCCTGGGCTCAAGCAAACCTCCTGAGTAGCTGGGATTACAGGCACGAGCCACTGTGCCTAGCTCAAGAACTGGACTTTTTCCACAGTTCTGGAGACTGGGAGGTCCCCAGATCGAGATGTCAGCAGGCTCTGTTGTCTGGTGAGGGCTGCTGCCTGCCTCCAAGATGGCACCATGTTGCTGTGTCTGCCAGAGAAAGGAACACCGTGGCCTCACATGGAGGAAGGGAGAAGGGTAAGCTAGTGAATGCTGCATGAAGCCGCTTTTATAAGAGCCTCAATCCCACTGAAGGAGGAGGAGCCCTCCTTGCCTAATCACCTCTTAAAGACCCCATCTCTCTCTTTTTTTTTTTTTTTTCAGACGGAGTTTTGCTCTGTCGCCCAGGCTGCACTGCAGTAGCACAATCTTGGCTCACTGCAACCTCCGGCTCCTAGGTTCTTGCAATTCTCCTGCCTCAGCCTCATGAGTAGCTGGGATTACAGGTGCACACCGCCACACCCGGCTAATTTTTTGTATTTTAGTAGAGACGGGGTTTCACCATGTTGTTCAGGTTGGTCTTGAACTCCTGAGCTCAGGCAATCTGCTCGCCTTGACCTCCCAAAGTGCTGGAATTACAGGCATGAGCCACTGTGCTCGGCTGAGACCCCGTCTCTTAATCCTTCCATATTGGCAACACCTGAATTTTGGAGTGCACACGTTCAAACCATGGCAGAGTCCATTCAGTAGATCCCTGAAGAGCTGGGATTTGTTCACAGGTAAGGCACACACACCTTCTCCTCCCCCACTCCCATTCCCTGCCTACTTATTTGGCGAAATAGCCTCCTTAAATCTTGAAGCCTAGTTCCTACTACAATTCCCATCCATCCATCCATCCCTCTGTCCGTCCGTCCATCCATCCATCCATCCAGTGTTGGATGGATGTGCTGTGCTGAGACTAAAGCTATGAAAAGAGGGACAGGGATATGGCCTTGTCTTCCCAAATCTTATGGTCTGTTTCTTTGTTGATATGCCAGCTCCCTCAAGCTCCTTCTTTTAGGCCAAGTCTCTGAATCTCTGACCTTTAGAAGAAAACGAAGACTTGGCCAGGTGTGGTGGCTCACACCTGTAATCCCAGCACTTTGGGAGGCCAAGGTGGGCAGATAAAGGTCAGGAGATTGAGACCATCCTGGCTAACATGGTGAAACCCCATCTCTACTAAAAATACAAAAAAATTAGCCAGGCATGGTGGCACATACCTATAGTCCCAGCTACTCAGGAGTCTGAGGCAGGAGAATCGCTTGAACCTGAGAGGTAGAGGTCGTGGTGAGCTGAGATCACACCACTGCACTCCAGCCTGGTGACACAGCAAGAGTCTGTCTTAAAAAAAAAAAAAGAGAGAGAGAGACTCTGTCAGGGTCCAGCCTGTCGCCTGTGTAACTACTGGCAAAGACTATAGTCCCCAGGATGTGCTGTGACATTGCCAGGAGTCCCGACTATTTTCTGTGCACTGAAATTTCTGAGTATGGACAGAAAGGCTACTGGAGTTGGATAGCACAGTGCTTTCACCTGTGAGACAGGAAGTGTGCCCAGTGTTCTTGGAGACCCAGACTCTGGGGCTGGTGATGTCATTGTGGGCTGTGAGGCCCTCTTGCTTGATTTGTGTCTTAACCGAGTTGGAGGAGATTATTGTTCTTTGGGTAGCTGTTTCCAGCTTTGTGTAGGAGTCTGCCCACCATAAACAGGTGTCCAGTGGGAAGGCATGACGTGGGAGTGACTTGCCAGTCTCCAGCCCTGCTGGGTCTTGATCTTCCTGGTGGGCCCTGGCAGCCCCATTAGCAATTGACTGACTCCCTGAGGAGTGCAGAGCTGGCAGTGGGGCCACTCCTGGCTGCAGGGTCCAGGACTACTGGGAGACTCTGCCCTCCCAGGCATGCCCAGCCGTGCCCTGGTGGCTTCTGGATGTCCAGCTGCCTCCGTGGTTGGGGGAGAGAGGACTTGCTGGAGAGTCCTTTGTGGAGGAGCCTTCAAGCCGTGCCAATCACGGCAGTAGGCTCATTAGTAAGCATTGCCATGACAACGGGTCTGCCAGAAAGTGGCTCGTTAGGCTGACAACTTCAGAGCTGTTATATATAGATCTGGGTGTGGGGGAGTGGGGGTGTGGGGCCCTGTGGATATGCTTTTCTTTAGAGCTCCTATTGCTTCTGGGTTTGGGGTGTGAGAGGACGCAGAGCGGGAGACCTTAAAACTGTCTGATCTGGCTGCTAAAGCGAGTGTCTGACGACCACCCATTAACGCCGGCCGGCAAGTAGCATTTGCTCGTGGCTTTAGGAAAAGGTAAGAGTCAGGGGTTCTCGGAAGCCTCCGGAGGGGCAAAGAGTCCTGGAGGCGGAGGTGGCACCCAGGTTGAACTTGAGCTTGAAGCATGGTGGGAGCTGTAGGGAGTTGAATAGTGGGGTCAGTACTGCTTGGAAGCTGCAGAGATAACCCCCAGTGTCTGTTAAATAGTTTATTCGAACGGTTTGGGGCAGTGGGACAGAATCTTTTTCTTTAATAAGTACCTGTGCAGCCCAACACTGTCCTTTTACAAAGTGTGCTTATAAAAATTTTATGATCCCAGTTGTCATTTCAGAAGTGATGTTTTTCTCAGTGGCTGCCTCTAAAGCTGCAGCGGAGTGGCTTCAGAGCACAGGACTCAACCAGGATCATTGTTCCAAATGCAGTCTCCCGGGCTGCTCTGGAGGTGGAGTCAGGCCCAAGAGTGTGTACTTTCACTCACATCCCAGGTGACTGCTGGGAGGCCCACAGTGATCATACTTTGAGAAACTCTGCTGTAGGGGGATTTGTCTTTGATCTCTGTAATCTCTGGGTGACTTTGCTTGCCTGCTTTTTATTTTTAAAAGGAGAAATCAGTAGCCACCATTAAGGGGAAAATTTGGGGGGGGGGGTGGCGTTGTTTTTTTTTTTTTTTTTTTTTTTTAAAGAGAAAAATTTGGGGGGGGGGGGGGGGGTGTTTTTTTTTTTTTTTTTTTTTTTTTTTATAAAGAGACAAGGAAGTCAGCCTACAGCTAGGGAACGTGACTGCCTGGACGCGGGTGGTGATATTTTTGCACATCTCCTGGGAAGGCATATGCTCACTTGGGGACTGGGAGACAAGCAGGAGGATCAGGCTTGAGTTGTCATCCTCCTTGGGAAGGAGCTGGAGTGTCAGGTGGTCTTGGTGAGGAAATGGAGCTGAGTAGGTATAGCTGGGGAGAGATATGGCCCGGCTTTAGGAAACTGGATAGAAGTCTCTAGAGCAAAGCTAATATTTTAATTAATTAATTTTGTGTAGATAGAGTCTTGCTACGTTGCCCAGTCTGGCCTTGAACTCCTGGCCTCAAGCAATCCTCCTGCCTCGGCCTCCCAAAACGCTGGGATTACAGGCATGAGCCGCTGCATCTGACCAGCTCGTATTTTCAAGCAGTTTGTTTTTACCATTTAATTAGCTGTGCAACACTGGGCAAGTTATGAAACCCTCTGCGTCTCAGATCCCTTGTTTTAAAGCGGGAATAAATGTCAGCTGTGAGGCAGACTTGTGATGATTAGCTGATTGTCTAAAGCACCCAGTCCAGTCTGGCATGCATTATAGATATTTGGTGACTGGGTACTGGATGTACCCAGTCATTCTTGATGGGTACTGGATCTGAGCTCATCTATTTCTTGAGTACTTTCTAGAGTAGGGTTCTGAAGTAGTCTAGAAACTTCCTGATATTACCTATAAAATAGCATATGTGTGTGTGTATGTGTGTGTGTGTGTGTATGTGCACCCTTTTTAGGGGGCAGAAGATCCATAGCCTTCCTCAGATTCTTAGAGGATGGACTTTCCATATATATCATTGAGCAGGCTGCCTACTGAACAAGGAGGCCCAGATGAGGGTGGACGGAGAGGGACCGAAGCCTGGCCTTGCACTCTGGCTGAGGGGTGGTCCCTTCCAGAGGAAGAGGCCATGTTTTCTAATTCCCACAAAGATACCCTGTGCATTAGGTAAAGAATGTCTGAGTTTAGAAAAAAACTTCCTTCATTTTCCCCACCCCCACTCCTGCTACCTGTGATCTTGTTCCTTCCAGGTGGGGTCTGTCCCCAACCCTCTGGGCCTGTGTCACCTCTGCTTCTAGTTCTGTTCCCATGGGAAAGTGCTGACACAAGGGAAAAAAAGCCACAGGACTAAGAAAGAGAAGGGAAGGATTTAACTTGGAAGGAAACTAATTAGAAGAATAAGATTGAGAGAGCCCTTAATTATTGGGTGGTAATGCACACTGTATCCTCTTGAGGACTGTGGGCCTGCTGCTCCTTCCCCTCCGTAGCCTTGAAGGGTGAGATAATGCTGATGCTGTTGGCTCTTTTTTTTCTTGAGTCGGAGTTTGGCTCTTATTGCCCAGGCTGGAGTGCATTGGTGCGGTCTCAGCTCACTGCAACCTCTGCTTCCCGGATTCAGGTGATTCTCATGCTTCAGCCTCCCGAGTAGCTGGAATTACAGGCATGAGCCACCACACCTGGCTAATTTTTTTTTTTTTTTTTGGTATTTGTATTAGAGACGGGGTTTCACCATGTTGGTCAGGGTGGTCTCGAACCCCTAGCCTCAGGTGATCCACCCACCTCGGCCTCCTATAAGTGCTGGGATTACAGGCATAAGCCACTGTGCCTGGCTGCCGTTGGCTCTTAAATGAGGACTTGAAGGTAGGGAGGTCTAATTTCTGCCTTCACCACATTTAAAAATTTTTTTTTTAAATTGTGGTACAATACACATGAGAGTATCAGTGATATTTATGCATTTGATGATACTGTACAGCCATTACCATGATCTGGTTCTGGAACATTTGTCATTACCCCAAAGGGAAAATCTGTACCCATTCTCCCCTCCCCAGACCCCTGGAAAAATCTATTTGTGTCTCTATGGCTCTGCCCATTCCGGGCATTTCATGTGAATGAAATCATACCATACGTGGTCTTTTGTGTCTGATTTCTTTCACTTAGTGTAATGTATTCAAGGTTTATCCATGTTGTAGCATAGATCACTGCTCCATTTTTTAAAATTTCTAAATAATATTCCATTGTATGGCTACAGCACACTATCCATCCATCTGTTGATGGGTATTTGAGTTGTTTCCGCTTTCTGGCCATTACAAATGATATTGCCATGAACATCCGTGTACCAATTTTTGTTTGACTGCTTGTTTCTAGGTTTCTGGGTCTACACCTGGTTGTCTCCATGTCTTTTGACTTCTGACTTGTCGAAAGTCAGCCATTAGGAGGAACTTCTTTCTAAGAGAGGGGACAGGTGAAGCGGCCGTGGCTGCCATGGGAGATGGAGGCAGAGCGTGGCCGGGCAGGAGGAAGATGTGGAGACCAACTTTGCCACATCAGTCACAGTAGGAGATGGGCCTGGTGGCCCCAGTGTCCTCCTCCTCCCCTCTTTCAGCATCTCATGGCCCTTCAAGGCTCAGTATCAGGATGCCTCCCTTCTATAAGGTCCCGAATGTCCTCGCTGGAGGAGACCTCCTTGGTCATCAGTGTCTTGTGGAGAAGGGATGGTGTCATTATTGCTCTCTTGTGGGTGGGGCGCTGAGGGTCACGGGTTGTGTCCACTGGCTCTCCAGCCCCTGTAAGGAGTGATCTCCTCACTGCCCAGCTCTCAAGCCGTTAACCTCCCCAGCAGGTGTTTGCCTTTGGAGTTGGCTAGTGTTGGAAACAGAAAGCTCAGAGAGTGACTATTGATGGTGACATTTCAGACCCAGGGATGGTGAGGCTAGGGTGGAGGTCGGTATCTCCGGAGACAGACCGTGTGAAGCCCTTCAGCAGAAACCCCCATTTATTGTGTATCCCTAGTGCCAGGTTGTTTATTGTTAACTGTCTCCTGTCTTCATATTATCACCCTTCATTTTACAGATTCCAGAATAGACTGGTGAGTCAGGAGCCTGTGGTCACATGGCTGCTAAGCAGTCCAGGCAGGATTGGCACTGAAGGCTGTTTGAGCCTGAGGACTTGTTTTCACTGTGCCTGTGGGTCCCCGTCGCTGCACCCCTTTTCTGGCCATGTCAATATTTGATCCTTCCCATCTCCCCCCCAATTTATCTGGATAAACACCAATATGGCCTTCCCATGTTTGATTGAAGGAGAAACTAGAATATTTCACTCAAGGAGAGGACACCTGGCACCTTGCCCCTCTGGTTCCAGAATCTCTTTCATCAAATGCTCATTCCTGTTGTTGTTGTGTGTTTTTTATTTGTTGTTGTTGTTCTTTGTTTGGAGACAGGATCTCACTCTGTCACCCAGGCTGGGGTGCAGTGGTGCGATCACGGCTCACTGCAACCTCGACCTCCAAGGTTCAGGTGATCCTCCCACCCCTCCTACGTAGCTGGGACCACACGTGTGCACCACCACACCTGGCTAATTTTAAAAATTATTTGCAGATGGAGTCTTCCTATGTTGCCCAGGCTGGTCTCAAACTCCAGGACTCAAGCCATTCTTCCACATCAGCCTCCCAACGTGCTAGGATTACAACCCTGAACCGTTGCACCTGGCCCTAACCCTCATTTTTAACCCCCTGATGCCCCCATGCTTACTTTATTCCTAGTCCCACTGGACAGAACATACATCTCCTGTGCATGGGATACTTCTCATTCTTTCAACATGCACATGCACGCACACGCACACACACACAGGCACACACACACACACACACACACCTTGTTATAATCCTATTTGTCTTACATGTATTTTGGCCATCATTCAATCCTGAAGAGGCCACAGCGGTGTGGAGGCCTCTTTCTTAGAAGATGGCCTTCTGGCCAGGCGCAGTGGCTCACGCTTGTAATCTCAGCACTTTGGGAGGCTGAGGCGGGCAGATCACCTGAAGTCGGGAGATTGAGACCAGCCCGACCAACATGGAGAAACCTGGTCTCTACTAAAAGTACAAAAGTAGCCGGGCGTGGTAGCACATGCCTGTAATCCCAGCCACTCTGGAGGCTGAGACAGGAGAATTGCTTGAACCTGGGAGGTGGAGGTTATGATGAGCTGAGATCGTGCCTTGCATTCCAACCTGGGCAACAAGAGCGAAATTTCGTCTCAAAGAAAAAAAAAAAAAGGTGGTCTTCCATACAGAATCAAACAGGAGCTGCAGATTAGCAGGTGTAGGAGACAGAGCGTCCAGGGCATCAGGGAAAGCTTTCAATTAAGCTGTGAAAATTCATAATGAAACATACACTGCAGCTACACAGAGGGCAGAAGGGAGGCTGTGTTTACTCAAAGTCCCTGAGCTGCTCAGATTGACTCGTTCCCTCTGATGACATGCAGGGAGCCACGGGAAGCCACAGCACGTGGTCTTGCAACCTTCACAAAGTGGAAGAGCAGCCTGGAAGCTGTGTGTCTCTGCTGCTCTCTTTCATTCTGTTATCTTGTTTTCCTAAGCAGGGGTCCCCAGTGACCAGCACTTCGGGCATAGCTGGGGGATACTGGGACATTTGGGAGCCGATTCCCTTTAATGTTTGTGAACAAGCTCTAGCTTTGCTGAGAAATTCGTGGATACTCTCTTCTTGTGGCTAGAATTTTGATTTTAATCAATTTACTTCAAAAGGCATAGCAATCTTGTGGGCTAATTTAGACTCTCCTAATTTTAAAATGTTCTTTAGCTACCAACTTTTATTTTTGTGTTTATGGGAGAAAATTTAATTAGATATGTAGAATGGAGAGAATAATAAATGTGTGTAATCCTAGCACCCAGGGATCATGGCTTATTTTTGTTTTTAGCATCTGTCTACTTGATATCTGGTTTCTTTATATGTCGTATACATTTTACTCAATATTTTTTTTTTTTTGAGACAGAGTCTCGCTCTGTCACCCAGGCTGGAGTGCAGTGCATGATCTTTGTTCACTGCAACCTCCACCTCCTGGGTTCAAGCGATTCTCCTGCCTCAGCCTTCCGAGTAGCTGGGACTACAGGCACACACCACCACAGTCAGCTAATTTTTGTATTTTTAGTAGAGACGGGGTTTCACCATGTTGGCCAGGATGGTCTCCATCTCTTCACCTCTTGATCCACCCACCTCAGCCTCCCAAAGTGCTGGGATTACAGGTGTGAGCCACCGTGCCTGGCCTCTCATTTATTTTATTTTTAATGTTTAATGAAAAGTAACTCTATACATGGTTAAAAGAATTAAACCGCATATAAGTGCATACAATGGGAAGTCAGCGTCTGTTCTGTCTCTGAGACCTAGTTCTTCTTGCCAGAGTGATCTGGACACTTGGGGAGAGAAGCTCCATCCAGCTCTTCATGGATTCTCGGCATTATCATAGAATGTTTTGCATCTCGCTGTGTGATGACTTGCATTAATTACTTCTGCTAGGTTTGCACAGCAAGCCTGGGGCCTTGTCTGCTGCTGTGCTTTGTGGTCTGGGAATTTCAGGCTTCAGATTTCACAGTGGGAGCTGGTGGAGTGACAGGGCTCCCTTGTAAGCGCAGCACCCTGTGAGTGATTTTCTAGGGGGCCGCTGAGAAAGTCCAGCTCCATTAGCTGAATGGCATTTTCCTCTTTGTTTCCAGAGGAGCTGTCCCCTGTGCAGGGGCTCTGAATGCTCAGGCGCTTCTCACCGCTGGTGCTCCTGGAGCCCCTGAGATCACACGTGTGCTGCCTGTGACCTCAGGGGCTTGTGGGCCACATACGTCCCAATGTCAAGCTACTCTAAGGTGAATTCAGCCTCTGCCTTCCTGGTTTAAAAACTTGCAAAAATACCAAATGGGTGTGACGTTTCTCTTTCTTCTCCAACAGAAGCCTGGAATGGTCCCCCCTCCGCCGGGAGAAGAGAGCCAGACTGTCATCCTTCCTCCTGGCTGGCAAAGCTACCTGTCGCCTCAGGGCCGGCGGTACTATGTCAACACGACCACCAATGGTGAGTCCTGCTCAGCGGGGAGCTTGCACCAGCCCCCTGGTGTTCTGTCTCTTTAGAGGGGCAGGTTTTTCCTCCCTTCTTCACCTCTCTAGGGCTTTTTCTTAAGTCTGTGCTCAGGGCTGCAGTAAAGTCTTGCTGGGTGGTAGGGGTGTGGGTCTGGTTCTGTAGTTCTGGGAGTATCATGGGAGGAAGGCTGCCCTTCCCATTGTTTGGGTCATCCTTGGACCCTCACATCCACCTTGGGCATCTGTGTTAAACCCAACCTCTTCATCTGGGGCTGTGTTTTCCGAAAGGTATCTCAAAAGATTCTATGGACCACAGCTGGTTTGAATAAAATGAACCAGGCGATGCCACTGTGTGACCTCTTGGAATTTTGAAGGCTTTAATGATCTTGAAGCTTCAAAACAGGGATTGCAAATGTGAGATTTCCCTAATTTCACTACAACATTGTGTCCTTTTCCTTAAGTAGCTCACTGGCTGGTATTTCTCTGAATGTTCTTTGGGAAATGCTGGGGGGATTTATGGGTTATTTATCCCATCAAATAGTACAGGTTCCACGTGCATTTCTGAGTTGAATAGGACCACACCTCAATGCCCCCAATAATTATGGACCTCCCAGGCTTTCAGATGACCCCAGAATTCCAAGTTAACTGTAGATGGTTTATAAAAGAGGGTGCACAGCGTGGCAGGTTCTGCAGCAGGGTGACCAGAGGGTACTGTTGCAGGCTATGGTCTTGGGCAGGGCGAGACAGGGCAACCCAGCTAAATAGAGCTGTCTTGATCTCTATGACTCCCCAAAGAAGTTACCATGAGAGAACTGAGAGGATTAAAACCAAGGAAAGTTAGACTTGGTGGGAATCATAGACATGCGTGCCAAGGCAGAAGATGAAATCCTACCCAAATCCACCTGCTGGCTCAGCCTTGGCCTCTGTGCCCGCCTGACTACGTGACCACTCCTTCCCACCTGGGGACGTCGTAGCTACAGCTTATGATTATGAGTCTGCCCCAGAAGAGGGTCCTAGTAACAGGGGAGCCAGCTGCTGTTTAGCAGAGAAGGCAGCTGGTTTATTCGTATCCCCTGGCAACCTGACCTTCCGCAGGCTCGAGAGGGGTGGTCTAGTTGAAGAGGTAACAGAGTTTCTAGGAAAAGGGAAGTAGGACTATTTCTGAATGTTCTAATCTTACGCTTCCTCAAAACAAACACATGAACAGCTTTGCACTGTTTTCAGCGACTTCAAGTTTCAGAGAAGAGCGTGTCTATATATGTACTACCCATCTGTAAAACACAGAATCTGGACTGTAGGATCATGAGATCATCAATCAATTTGGATCCATTATTGTTCTAAATAAGCTACACTATTGCAAAAGGGCATGGGAGAAAATGGCTATCTGAATTTCAGTAGCTTTATCTTTTATTAAGTTAGAGAATAGTTTATTTTCAGGGTAAAAAAATTCAGAGTACAGGCTGGGTGTGGTGGCTCAGACCTGTAATCCCAGTACTTTGGGAGGCCAAGGCAGGCAGATCACGAGATCAGGAGTTCAAGACCAGCCTGGCCAACGTACTGAAACCCCGTCTCTACTGAAAATACAAAACATTAGCTGGGTGTGGTGGCAGGCACCTGTAATCCCAGCTACTTAGGAGGCTGAGGCAGGAGAATTGCTTGAACCCAGTAGGCGGAGGTTGCCGTGAGCCAAGATCGCGCCATTGCACTCCAGCCTGGACGAAAGTGCAAGACTCCATCTCAAAATCAAACAAACAAAATTTCAATAAGTACAAAAAGGTTTCAAATAAAAAGTAAGAATCCCTGGTCTCACCTTTTAAACATATGTACACTTAGCTTTTAAAATAAATTGGAAAATATTTTCTGTGTTATCCTTTAAATTACTTTGACAGTATATGCAGACATTTTTCTATACTTTGTACGTTTTAGTCTAACTCATTCTTTTAAATAGCTGTACAGTAATCCATCGGATGGGTATGCTATTAATTTCACTGGCACTCTATTAATGGTTGTTTAAGTCACATTTTATATCAACAGACAGTGTCTGGCAGCTTTTTCCCGAGACTCGGACATTAGCAGATGCCACTGTGTGAGAGTTTTCTTATGGGCGCTGGGATATAGTGATTCCACAGAGGCTCCAGGCCAGGGGTCAGGCAACTTTTTCTGTGAAGGGCCAGGAAGTCAGTATTTGGGCTCTGGGGGTTATGTGAACCCTGTCCCAGCCACTCAGCTCTACTGTCTCAGCATGGAAGTAGCCCCGAATGATAGGTAAACACACGAGTGTATCTGTGTTCCAATAAAATTTTATTTATGCATCTCAAAATAAGAATTTCAAATAACTTGTGTGTCATAAAATATCATTGTTTTGGCCAGGCATGGTGGCTCATGCCTGTAATCTCAGCACTTTGGAAGGCTGAGGCAGGTGAATCATGTGAGGTCAGGAGTTCGAAACCAGCCTGGCCTACCTGATAAAACTCCATCTCTACTAAAAATATCAAAATTAGCTGGGTGTTGTGGTGCACACCTGTAATCCCAGCTACCCAGAAGGCTGAGGCAGGAGAATTGCTTGAACCCAGGAGGTAGAGGTTGC